ATACAAGATAGAAATATCGTGATTCTTATTTTAAGATTAACAAGTTTATTTATGTATATTTGTACATGTGATAAAATATGTAAAATGTGAGATGAATCGGTAGATATGATGTTTACTATATCTTAGGGGGAATTTAAAAATTGTAATTTTTACAAATATATATGTATACGACGTATAAGGCCGAGTGAAAGCTTATATCTTTCCTATTCGATGTACCGACCAGGATCGAAAGAGCTTCTTCGTAGATTTACTTTTCGACTCTCTTCCATGAACAATTTGTACTTCCAACGATGCTCCGTTGTTTAATGCTAACCATGTATGAATCTCGTCAGTTGCCGCGGAAACGCCTGAATGTGTGTAAATGCAAACTACATGTATCCACCAGTTGTGTACATACGTGTTGCGACGCGTTGTTACGGTTTTATGGTAAACGAATTTATGGTAACGATTTCAAATCACATTCGCTTTCTCGTTGCTTCTCTTTAGTTTCGTAGTTTCGTAGTTTCGTAGTAAGCGTTCGAACTTTAGATTACTTTGGCCTTATGTTTGTTAAATTACGGTACAAAGTAAATTGCATTGGAAATTATACTTACCCAATAATTCGTGAAGAGTGATGCGCCGGCTAGCTAACAATTCTTTGCTAGCGCTTCTGATTTCGAATATTAACAAAGACTGTCTAGGAACGTTGTCACCTTCTATGTGAAAATCTATACTGAATTGTGGATTAGGCATCGCAGGTAAAAGTCGAGACTTTGCTAATGTTTTACCACCATTTGCCGAAGATGTAACTTTATCAGGACTGGTACATCTAACAAATATATATATATATATATATATATACATACATACACGTTTGTATTTTGTGTGTGCGCGCGCGCGCGCGTGTGTTTGCATACTTACATTTGAAGTTTGATTCGACAATATAGCTGGGCGATATGGGCGACATGAAGACCTTGAGCTTGTAAAACTTTTCCCTCTATGCCCGAGTATTTCTCTTTAGTGCCATTGACGATCTTTAATTCTGTTTCGATCAACACAGA